TTTGACGATATATATATATAACAGTTTGTCACAGCCCCTCGTTTGTTGTCCTCTTCTCCCTCTCTGCCTACGGTTTACCGGGCAGTTCTATTTGAAGATATATATGGTCCAGCGGGGCAATTGGGCCCGGGCCCCTCTGGTAGCCGCGTGCAAGTTTGAAAAATGGATAGTCTTAGGGGCAAATAGCCTGGTAGCCGAATGAAGAAGTAACAGGAAGGATTATAGTACAGGTAACCAACTAGGACAGAGTATATCAGACTATGAGAGAGAGTATAGGTAACCAAGTATGAGAGAGAGGCTGAATGTGAGTAGTGTGTGTGATAACAGACGGTGAGAGAGAATGTGAATGTGAGTACCGTCTTCCCACGAAGACAATGCACCCTCATTATGGCTGCACCGGCCCGAAAATGTAGCTTGTATGCATTTGATAACGGGGTGCGTTGTGTTTGGGGGAAACCGTAGCTTGTGTGTGTCCTTGGGTATCCATTTAGAGTATTGCCCATCTCACGTAAATCAACTGGACTGAGAGTTAGGAATAGATTTCAGTTGAGAAAAGAATAGAATAAGGAAAAGAAAAAGAATAGATTTGAATTGTCGAACTTCATATTTGTATAGTTGCCTCTATGGGTTGTGGCACTGCCTCTATAAGACTGATGGTGCGGCGACGGAAAATTAATCTTTCGCAGCAATAAGCCAACGGAAGTGATCAGTAACGACTTCGAACCACCCGGGCCTGCGCGGTGGCGCCGCTCTGCGCGCCAAGCTTTGCCGAACTGCCAGCGGCTCCCTTTTTTCCTTTTTTGGCCAGCGTCGCCAGCCGTCGTGGTGGTTTAAAGAGTTCTTTTGAGAAAAAAATATTCCTGAGTCCCTGTATTTGTCTTCTTTCCCCCTTCCTGGTATATTCTTTGAGTTCGGTTGTCCAGTTTTCACATGCTCTTGGAACGTACTTTGGAACGTACTTCGCACATGCAAACCGAATGCATACGCCGATCAGAGTTGCTCTGACCTGGCAGAATCTGACTTCTCAGACTCAGGAGGCCAGCGTTGGTACATCACGGGAACTTTCCAGGAGGTCACCCATCCCAGTACTATTCCGGCCCAATGGCGCTTGGCTTGGAATGTACTTTGCACATGCAAACCGAGTGCATACGTCGATCAGAGTTGCTCTGACCTGGCAGGTCTGACTTCTCAGACTCAGTTGGCCAGCGTTGGTACAGCACCGGAACTTTCCAGGAGGTCACCCATCCCAGTACTATTCTGGCCCATGGCGCTTGGCTTCCGAGTTCAGATGGGATCGGGCGCATTAGTCGTGGTATGACCAACCGTATCAGGAGGCCAGTGCTGGTAGTTTCTCTTGGTTCGACAATTTGAGGTCTGCCGTACTGGTGGTTCAATGTGTGGTTGGTTTGCTTTGTGTGCAGGCACTTCTTTTTGGTGACCAAATGGCCGTGCTGGTGACCGATCCGTCTTTGATGGCTTTTTTTTTTTTTTTTTTTTTTCCCCCCCACATCTAGTTAACTCTGGCTGTGTACCCCAAGAGCTGTCTCTTATACACATCTA